CGGTGTCGCTTCGTTTCGGGGATGCGTTTATTATATTGCCCCTATTTCACTCAACGGTCATAAAAATATGCTTCATAAGTATCCAAAATTTTAACCTCTAAGAGCTTTACCTTTGCAATTCCTGAATTTACAAGCTTTGGAACTTTCAATTTCATCGGCTTTTCTTTTTTTTTATCCTTGTGATTCTGTGTGTTTGGACAATTTCTCTATTCTCGTCGTCTAGGGTTTCGATTTCTTGGTAAGCTCTTGTCTCATTTATTTATGTCTTCTATTTTTCATAGTCGGAACTTTTCCACTATTTTTTGTTGAGAATGGCACAAGTATCTAGCATTAGTGAGACAATTTCTAAGGAAGTATTGGGTTTAGAATTGGCGCACGAGTACTATCTATGGGACCCAATATTTGTTGAGCACCTTGATATTAAAAGGAATAATGTTGAGGGCGACCGAGAGGTTGAGAGAGATGTATTTGATCGGAGTGACTATTGGAGATGGTCCGTACTTCAATGGTCGGATGTTGAAGTCAATTTATTAGGAGAACCAAGTATCTTAACGGATGTCGATGCGGTACTACTTCGAGAACATATTCGAGTCCCGTTGTCGGGGAAGCTCTTTGTGTCGTATCCGGGGGAAAGGATTACTTGTCCTCCTCCAGGGTGTGTTGGTATTTTTGCCAAAAGCCTAAGTTCGGGATCAAGATTTTCTCTCCCCAATACGATATACAACTATTTACGAGATTGGGGGCTAAGTTTGTGTTAAATTACGCCGAACAGTTGGAAGAGAATCATCGGGTTGATAGTTCTACCGAATGAGAAGGGTTAGGCCTTTCCATCATTAAACGATATGAGGAGTTTGTATACGTTTAAGAAGAGTCTGAGTATAAAGATGGTGGAGTTGTCGTGTTGCTTTTCTTGTGCCGGCAAACCTCAACCATGATTTAAAATAGGTGACCTGATAATCGACGTCCCTGATACCCTCCAAAGCCTCCAGGAAGAGTGGTTGTGGGTTGGATCATTGATTTTACACACAGTATGGTCTTCTTTTTTCAATCTAAGGATTTTATTGATCTTCCTCCTTTGCATGGTATGAGCATGGAAATATTTTGAGTTTCTATCTCCATTCTTTAACCAACTAACTCTGGATTTCTGCTACTACTGCTTCTCCTCAGAATCATAGGCCTTGTTTAAATCCTTATTGATCTGATCCCATTTCAGTCAATCTCTTAAGCCACCATCCTCCTAGAGAACAGATAATTGTCTATTCAGATTCTCAATTTTCTTCGTATTTTAAAATCTGAAGGAGCTGCTCCATTTGAGAAGATCAACTCTAGTCTCTTTATTTCTAGATTGAAATCTGAACATAAGGGTACCAGATTCAGGTCTCTTCCCAAAAACCAGTACTTTCTCCACTTCCCTTTCATAGACAAAAGGTAGTCCCATTGAGATTTTCTTTCAAGGATATGTATGCTAGCATAGATTAAAATTCCCCCAAATGTTATTGCCTTGAGCACATCCCATAATTCAACTTAAATACAAATGGAATTTTTAATAATCTGAAAAACATGAAGAGCGTTATCTAAAAAAAAAATGCAAACCACCACTTCAACCAAGAGGTTCCACAAAATTCCTACTCTGACTAACTCCTAAGTATCTACAAACAGTACTAATGAAGGTATCTGTTTTCCTCACTAGAAAAAAAAAAAAAAAAAAAAAAAACAAAAACTTGGGTGATGAGATCTTCTAATCTCCTTGATCTGGGCAACTGTAAAGGCCCACCCGCACCTCTGCAGTTCCACACAACTACATTCATTTAAACTTTTGGGTCCATTTAAGGCTGGTCACTCTCACCTCCTCATTGTTGATCTTTTGCTTCTTGGAAAAAATGACAGCAGGTTCTACTGATGGTTTTGACTGATCCTGAGGATGTTCAGTTACACTTAGCTGTCTCTTACCGCTGGTAAATTTTTGTGTTGGAGTACTTTGGATTTTGATGCTAGTTTAGGGTTTCCTTTACCAACCTTTCCCCTTACCTTTTGAAAGAGAGGCCTTTGTGTGATCCTCTGGCTGATCTTGGATAAAAGTCATGACTGATGATCAATTCACTTAGAACATCTGTGTCATATCAAAAGGTTGAATGGAATTCTTTTGAGGCTTAGATTTTGGCTGAGTAAACTAAATAGAATTTTCTCTAGGTGAGGCTTGATGAGGGGTTGAGTGATTAACCTTAGGATTTGATATTGGAGGAGCTAGAGTGATGGGTGAATTATGGTTCTCAGAGGATTGATTATGGTTGTGATGGATGGCGTTAGGGGAAGTAAGGGTTGCTTCTGAATTGGTAGTTGTTCCAAAAGGAAAAGAGGAGGTAGCAAAAAATAAATCAGTAGGAGTTAGGGGAAGTAAGGGTTGCTTCTGAATTGGTAGTTCTGCCAAAGGGAGAAGAGGAGGTAGCAAAAAATAAATCAGTAGCCTTATGCCAGTATACATAGAGCCTTCAACCAGGGCATCACTAGAGATATCAGCAGCTCTCTTAATGCAACTTTTATCAATGAATCCCAGACAACCACAGTAGAAGCTAAGGTTAACAAGCCTTTCATATTGAAACTGGACATGAATTTTTTTTTCTCCCCAAATTGAAGATAGGTACATTTTAGCCACGGATGAGCAAGGCTCGGTTCGGTTCGGAGATCCAAAAATCTCCAGAACCGAACCGAACCGAACGCTGGAGATTCCAAAAACTGGATCTCCAGAACCGAACTAGTTCTAATGAATTTTCGTCCCGAACCTGCTCAGTTAGAGATTCGATTCTAATGGGTCAGTTCTGTACGGATTGGAGATTTCAGATATTTTTAAAAAAAAAAATAAATAAATCTCATAATTGCATGTTAGATGGTACATATCATGGATGAAAAAAAATCATAAACCTCTCTTAATTTCAAAATATATTTCGTCAATCAATAGTAAGAATAGATGGTTAAAATCTTTTTTATTTTATAAAAAAAAGTGATAATTATCTTTTAGTTGCAAAATATCATAATTTAATTTGATAGATTTATATGCTAAACGTTTATATTCCAAAAAATTCGCAAGTGATAAGACGTACATGAACAATAATCAATTTAAAGATAGGTACTTGTTAAAGAAAAAAAATATTTTGGAAATATATTATGTCCAAATAAATTAATCTCTTCTGACCGATACCGTGAGATTCAGATATAGTACTTATAAAGATCATTTTCGAAAAGTGAAGATATTTAATTTTATTAAGTTATAATTAATATTATTAATAATATAATCAATATTTCCATTCTTAATTTAATATTATGATAAAGATATCTTTCAATTTATTTTATTTTAGAATAATACACCTTTAAATAAATAATTATCTCCAAGTTTTGTGAAAGACTTACTTCATAAAGGTCGGTTTCCAAATATTTGGTATTTAAATTCTATTAAGTTATATTTAATGATTTTCTTAATAAAATATTTGACATGTTGGCTATCAAATTTTGTAATAGGAAGAGTATATTAATTTTAATTTTTTTTTCAAAAAATTAATTCGAAAATGAGATCTTAGATTTAATATTGTCTCATAAGTAGTACCAAAATAAAATAATTATTTTTTTTGTTTTAAAATTCTCTTAACATTCAATAGTGGATGTTTTTTCGCAACTCAATTTGAAATATAACTTATGATAGTTTTATGGACATATACATAATGTATGCAGATTATATTTGAATACAATTATGTACAAAGATGAAAAAAATACATATGATAAAATATAATATATATATATATGGATTTTATGAATTTGAATCGTTTCTTGTTCGGTTCCTCGGTTCGGTACGGTTATTTTCGGTTTGGTCTGGTTCTCGGTACAGATATTTTGTGAATCCTAGAACCGTACCAAAAAAAAATTCGATACGGTTCGGTTCGAAGATAGTCAAACGATCAACGGATATTTTTCTATTCGGGGTGAATTAGATTATGCTTTCGGAACGGTTTGGTAATCTCCAAGACCCGTGTTCAGCCCTAATCTTACCAAACGCTAATTCACATCAATAGAGACTAAACTTCTTATGCATTTACCTACAAGTAGACCTCCTTGAGGGAGATTTACATCTCTGATTCTGGTGAAGACTGCCAATTTTGAGCCTTACTTCGGCCGAAATCCAATGAATTGAAATATTTGAAGCCTACACCCAGATATCCAAATCTTGGAAGCACGGATGATCTAATGAGATACCCCATGTCCATTCTTTAGGATCAAGAACTAATTTTCATAAGTCCAGTTGAACCCTTTGATAACTTTAACCTGGTCAGCATTATCTGAGAAGATGAATTAAAAGAAGTTGGCCTTAATTTCACAAAACCTTACAGAGGATTCGATTTGCCACATCTGACCAATTGCTCTTCTAACCAATTAATTTGGCACGCTTACTGCACTCTTTTCCGTTGTGTTGGATATCCACCGATGCAATAAAAATAACTACGTTTTTCTTTTATCAATAACTGAAAAGCTTCAAGTTTCGCTGCTATATCTTCGCCCATTTGAAGTTAGAAACGGTCACTAGGGGAACAAAATCTATCGAAAGGGGCATGGGAAACTGAGGGCTAATACACCAAGAAAGAGATAAAAGGAGAGGAGAAGGTAAGAAGAATGGTAACCCAGGTGAAACTGAAGAGCTAGAGAAGGAAAATAAACCCCAAAGGGATGAGAATTGTACCTGCCAACGAGGGGATGAAGGTCTCAGAAGTGAGAGCTCCCATGTCGAGAGAATCATAACATTCTTTTTTTTTTTACTTTTTTCACTACATATATTTAGACAAAGAGAAACTCATCTAACATCCCTTGAATTCCAACATCTTTGCTTCATAAATTTCAACAAAGAATAAATGAATAAACAATACAAGTCGAGAAGTTTCAGTAAAACAATTCAATCGTATTTGTGGCGTGAAGTCGTAAATTCGAAATAGTTAATTTTGTGCTTTGAGTGTAGCACCCTAGTTCATGCTTTGGTTTTGCCCAAATACATATTTCACAACTCCAGGAATGTGAATGTTCATAGCATAATCCTCCCAGTTAATGCTCTTGGGATCAAAATAGAAGATGCTACTCTCAATACTGCTTTCTTTTACTGCTCTTCTCAGTTTTTCCAAATTCATGTCATCATAACTGTATATCAGAAAAAGTACACTAAGCTTGTAAAATGTTCTAATTTTCGTTCACATCCATAAAAAAATAATGAAATTGAGATATATTCAGTTAACAATCAGACTAAAATATCATCATAAATTCTCACTTATGTAGTTATTAAATTGTGAAATATAACTCTCTCTACCTTTTCTTATTTTTTAACGAAAAAAATTAGTTAATTAACTTCCTTTCCTGGGAAAAGACCATTTTACCCCTACTTGTTATGTATTGTCTTATGTTCCCACTACAAATTATAGCAGGAGTAAATTGTAATTTTAATCATGTATATTTTACTACCTTAACTTTTTGTCTTCTTAGAATTACGTTTCCAATGTTCGTCCCGTATATTTGCAAAAAGGTTACAAAAAGATTATTTTCTGACATAATGGGAAAACTTGGAAACTTTTTTTTGCAAAACATAAATGACCTGAAATTATGTTGCGAGAAGGACCTTTTTGTAGCATTTTTGCAAACATAGGGGATGAAAATAAAAAACGTAATTCAAAGAGGCGAAAAAGTTAAGGTAGTGAAACATACATGACTAAAATCACAATTTACTCTTATTGCAGTGCTGAAAAAAAAAATTAGAATACTCACAAGCCTTTGAAGAACAAATAAGGCCCATAAAGATCAATGAGTCGCATCACAAACTTAATCTTTCTGCACATGTCAATGTACAATCTCTGAAAATATTGGCAGCTTAACATGTTCAATAACTGTAAAGCCTACAAAAAAACAAATAATTAATTAAATAAATAAATAATAAATCGAGAATCAAACCAAATAGATACCAATCGAGCATTCAGACCTTGAGAGGCAGAATGTATCGAACGGTCATGTATCGTTGGAAACTATCCATTGAGCTTAGGACATTGACTTTGCCAACAATCACAGGCTTCCCGTGTTTGTTAATCCAAGGATGTCGTGTGAAGTACTTCAGTGCATAATCTTGAAGCCATGAGAACTCCACGGGGTTTGATACAGATGAGCCAACATGGTATATATTATCATTGCCGCCATTATCGTTCGCATGAGCTACCATCGACACTATCATTGCATTAACCACCATATCCGCCGGTATCTGCAATTAATAATGTTCTTACAATATCGATATCATTTAGCCTAATCCAGTCAATTTAGAGATAGCTACTTAATTAAACTCACCACATCGACAATGCCCTTTGGATCTCCAAGAAAACATGTTATTCTTCCTTTACCATATCCAACGACCAAGCCGTCAACGGTCCTGCTCGTTGCAGTCGAGAATTAGCATTAGACGCGATAGAATTTAATATAAAAATAAATAAATAAATAACTAAATAAACATTTTGTACAGCTGTAAAAATGAATATTACAAATATATATTACAAATTTAGAAGCATCGAGCACCCCAATTTTTTTTATCCAATCACACCTTAAACTTAGGGTTTTTTTTTTTTTGGATAAAGTTAAAGAGTTGAAAATTTTGATTGAGTGGACTAATGGACTAATGTGTTGTAATGATTAGATTTTATTATTTAACTCGTGTTGATATCCGTGCAATACACGAAATATAATATAAACAATTATAATTAAATGTTGTTGAATTAGATAAGAAAATATATTGAGTCTAGTTGACAAACTATCCATAAGCAATAATATAAATTTTGCTTAAATTTTTTTCTTTTTTTTTTCAATTTTTTTTTTTTTTTGAAGGTTTGTTCTTAGCATTTAATAATATAAATTTTATTATTTATAATTTCATAAAATATAATAGATGCAAGGACGGACCTACATGAGGTCCAGGGAGCCCGTGGGTCTCCTCATTTTTTTCAATTATTATATAATATATATATATATATATATATATATAGAATGAAAAAACTACAACAGATGAATAACAATGCAAAAATATAAATAATTAAACTAATTTGTTGCTATTTTGATTTAAATTTATAATATTACTAGTACAACACCCGTGTATTACACGGGTGCTTGCTAATTTTTTTTTTTAAATCTAAAATTAATAAGAAAAAGTAGTTTGAAAATTTAAATACCTTTTACAAGAATATATATATTATTATATATTTATTATGACACTTTTTATTTGTGCAACTTACTTGTGTTATATTATACTAATTTTTTTAACTTACAACATATAACTACATTACATATAAATATATCAATTGAGAAATAATTTTATTTTTCTAATGAACTTTAATAAATATTATTATTTTTTATTATTATAAAGATAAATATAATTTATTTATTTCATATATACAATATGGATGTCAAATCGAAGATCATCAAAAGATGATTAATTTGATATATTATATATGTAAAACCGATAAGAAATACAAAAGTTATCAACTTTTAAAATACATTTATAATTCAATAGTTTATTGAAGGAAACAAATCAAAATTTAGGGATATATTAGTCACTTAGTGCCTCACTATGTAAAATAACAAAGAATTAAAAGGTTATATTAGTAAAAGTGATATTAAAATACCTAAGTTAGCTAAATAATATTTATAGAATACCCGAACCTAGATTATTAATTATTAATATATCAATATTATTTGTCCAAACCTAATTACGAAGCATGATTCTTCGCCAAATAGGATTCTGAAGCACCAGAAGCAGCCACGTAGGCTCAGCGCATTCGGGAATTATATATAGGGAGGATTTAATTAATAAAAAAACATAATACCAATTCTTTTATTTTACATTTTTAGATAAGTTTAAAAAAAATTATAATTACTTTTTCCTTTCAGCCTCTTAAATGTAAATCTTTAATGATTCAAAAAACCTAGTATTTAGTTGGATTGTTAGATATTTAATGTTATTTTTTACCTTTTTAAATCAAATATTTTTAACTATATTTATTCTTTCCTTAAGAAAAATGGTCATTTGATAGCTCTCATGAAAATAAATGGTATGCAATGTGTTGTAAAAGTTCAATTTAAATCATTTTCAACAAAAGATAAATAAATATATAAATTTTTCATAAGTTATAGATGTTAAACTTAAATTATAAATACATAAAATCCCATTTTTTTGTTTAATTTTTAAAAATTTAAGGGTGATACAGTTCTAAGTTTTTAAGAACTTAGATTGCACACACATCAATATCTATATTCATAAGTAAACACATCTTTATATAAAATGAGTGTTTCGACATAAACTACAAATTCATTATTTAACATTTAAAATCGAACCCCTAATTAAATTCCTAGATCCCTCACTGAACAGATGCATAAGATTTTAAATATGATGTTGGTATACAATACTCACATATGCTTAGAAATATATGTATTTATTGATTTGATAATTAGTTAACAATTCATAATTTACATATTCTCGATAATTGATCAGAGTTTAAAATCATCATATTTATCTTCTCTTTTTCAAATTTCATAAAGTAACATATATTTGATAATTAAACTATAATTTTTAATTAATTTATTTGTTGTGGTGCAACAAAATTTTTTCATGGATTTTTTTTTTTTTTTTGGTTGTTTTGTTTATATTTATTTCTTAAATTCATTTTTAACATATAATGAGTCAATTAATATACAATTAAAAATTTAGATATATTACATATTTCAATGCTATCACGCCCATAAAGTTTTAGCTATTTATTTATGAAGTCTATATTATTTTTATGTAACTTCTGCGTGCATGCTGATTACTAGTTAAGAAAGAGAGATTAGGTTATGTTTGTTAGATAAATAAGTTAGTTTATAGTTAATTTAGTTTGTTTATAACGTCTATGTTCTCATATAAGCTCCGCTTGGTAGGACGAGTTTTTTTTTTTTTTTTTAAATCTCGAACTTATTTGATAAACTTCTGTAGATGGTTTTTCAAATAAGCTCGTAGAAAATTTTATTTCTTCTAGTTTATCAGCTAATTTTACCAAACACTTTCATCATATAAGCTAGTTTTTCAGCTATAAGTCATAAGTTGTAAGCTCTAAAGTAATTGCTAAGCTATAAGCTAGTTTATCAGCTATCAGCTAGTTTTACCAAACATAACTTAAAAATGCAAAAAATTGATTAAATTTGATTAAAATTACCTCATCCCTTCAACCCAACCTGGGAAGGGCTCTTTGTAAGTACTGGTTATAATTGTGGGGCGAATAATTACAAGAGGCATTTGTTCTTTCAACTGCCCCAACATCATCTCCCCCATTGCCTTGGTGAAAACGTATGTATTTGGCCACCCAAATTTCCTTGCCCTGTTATACCAAATTTTACCGGTAGAATATAAATAGGGAACGACTAAAGTCCCGTTGACTGAATAGTTCCGTCAATATCTGTTACCGTAGATTATGTACACAACATAATCTACATGGATATATCCAATGGTGAAAAACACTGACTGAATCATCCTTTAACGAAACTATAACATTTTCCTATTGATCGGTATATTCTATTAATGGTATATATATATTAAGGAATGTATATATAACCTTTGAATTCCCAAGTCTTTCATGGTTGTTGTAATGAAGTCTTCAGAGTGATTCTCATCTTTTAGGTGTTTTAGGGTCTCATCCACTAATTTTTTCTCTTCATCAATGTCTAATCCAAATGTACCATTCAGTGTCTCCCCCATTTTATAAGGCGTTTCCAATATAAGCCCCTCTTTCTCACCAGAAACATAAGCTGAAAAAAATTAAAAAAATAATAATAAAAAATAAACACATCAAATTATTTAATGAAAATGTGTCTTGTAAATATTGTGATATATACAAGAAAAAAAAATATATGTTTTTATGTTTTCTCAAAAAAAAAAAAAAGGAACATGAATTATTAACATATTTAGACCATCTAGGCAAACATTCAATATTGATCGATTTACTTGTCTAAATTCCTTTACAGTACACTAACTTTTTTCTCATCAATAATAATATGATATGTTGCAATTTGTATCACTATTGGAACATTATTGCGAAATTAGTTTATTACTTTTTGGGATTAATGTTCTAAAAATGATACAAAAGCATAGCGTACGGTTTTTACGAGTAATGTCTCAAAAATCATACAAATTGCAACATAACATATTATTATTAATTAAGGGAAAGTTGGTGTATTAAAAACGGAGTTTAAACAAGTAAACTGACCAAAATTGATTTTTTTTTTTTTTCCGACCATCTAGGTACAACCAAGTTGTAATCAATAAGTTCATGACTCGGTCTATAATAGAAACACACAATTAGATATCACGAGAGGAATATTTATGAATATGCAACCTCTACATAAGACAAAGTTGATTTATTATCAACTTGCATAGCAAAAGTTGAGAAATTCAAGAACGCACAAGTATTATATATTTATCAAAAAAATATATATATATATTAGGGGAAAAAAGTAGATTAAAATTAGACAAAATTGCAAGTTGAGTATTGGTTTGATCCAATGGCATTTTTATTTTTAAAAATTGAACATTTTTGTTCGTTAGTCTTATGATTTTAAAATTCAACGCAATTTCAGTTTTTTGGGACTGAAATTGCAACAAAATTTAAAATTAACAATTTAAGTCCTGTAATTTTAAATTTTGTTGCAATTTTAGTCCCAAATAACTGAAATTGCAGCAAAATACTAAATTGCAGGACAAAAAGACTGAAATCTTGAGACTAAAAATGCTATATCGTTAAACCAGCACGACTAAAAGTACAATTTAGCCTTAATATTAGGAGATAAAAAAGGGTGAAAATGTTCCTAAAGAAATTATAGTATATTATAGTATTTGGATTTTTAATAATCCATGATACTAACCAGTTGATACGTGAACGAGCACCTTTAATTGTTTGCATTTTTTAGAGAAATAGAAAACGTGCCCAGCTCCCAGGGTATTTACTCCAAGGGCAACATCATATCTGCGTGCAAAATAATAAATTTAAATCAATTAAAAAAATTAATTAAATCCAATAAAATAAAATATATTAGTCCTTTATTTTCATTCTTTCATTATATATATTATTATAAGGAAATGTTACGGTCCCGTTACGGAATCATTCCGTCCGGGTTTGTCACCTTTAGATCAACTATCCACGGTTGCATTGTGATCTAACGGTTATAAATCCCGACAGAATAGTTTTGTAACGAAATTGTAGATCACGTACCTTTCGTCAAAATTGGTGGTGGCAGCTAAATTAAACACGATATAAACTTGTTCCCACATCTCTTCCAATAAATCTGAGTCTTTTACGCCCAAATTCTCACACCTAATATCTCCAGCAACAACTCTAATTTTTTCCCAAATAAAATTATTTAAATTATCCCCAAATTTCTCTTTCAAAACTCTGAACAAGTCCTTTTCCACGACCTGCACATATACGATACAAGGTTATAAAAGACGCTAGACTATTTTAATTTTATATATACGGTTCATGTTCGTATTTTACGTGAATCGAAACCGATCCGCGCGAGTATATATACGGGCTGGTTCACTAAAGCGGCGGTTCACGATTCAGAATTGGCACGCCCATTCTAGGTCAAACTGGAAAATTAAATGAAAACAAAAAATGAAAAATAATAAAAAAAAAATCAATTTTTAAATTCGTTGAATCGGAACCTAAACCGGCGGTTCAACTTGTGAAAAAACATGAACCTGGCCCGGACAGCAGGCTTGACCGGGCCAGTTCGGCTCGTGGACATGTCAGCTTCTAACGACACCGGGAAAAGTTAACGTCGAGAAAAGTTAGCGTTGAAGGATATTAAACTCGCTATTAAAAATTATATTACCTCGTTTTTGAAACGTGACATGGCTGTTTCTGTGTCTGAGGCCCTTAAAAGAAGATAAAGCTTCTTGATTTCTGGTTGTACTCTCAATATCTTCTCAATAAAAACTGCAATTGAGATACATGCATGCACAACTTAATATTATTATTATTATTAGTAGTAGTATTAGTTCATATTCATATATATCATTACAATTACATTATCGTATATGTATATGCATGAGAGAGAGAGAGAGAGAGAGAGAGAGAGAGAGAGAGAGAGATGTTATTCTACTGTAAAATCAAATTGGAGCATTATATAGAGAAGAAAATTTGAAAGAAATTGTAGAATTTATTAGGTGCACAGCTAATAAAATTTTGTCAATCTTAGCCACTTGTTGGTTCAATTTCTAGTCTCATGCATCATAGGTTTCATATGCCGGCTAGCTTAGTCAGACACATTGGCTTAGTTTTGGCTAGAAGTGACCAAGGACGGAACCACCCATGGGCTGGGTGAACTCCAGCTAGCCTCATGTCCACTAAAAAATAAAATTGATAACTTTAAATTTTTAAAAGTTTTATACATAGTCTTATGTAATTTTTTATTTAGTTCAATCCAATTGCGGGCTAGAGACTCAAGATTCAGGTTGAATTTGTTCATCTCACAACAATGGTGGATAAGTGATGAATATGTGAGAGGGTATGTGACCCAACACTCTCTTATCTTTTAAATTTTTAATGAGTTGACTTGACAAGTACCAAATGAGCTAGATAATTAAGTTTGACACACACTTCTGGCGAGATATGTAATTAAGTTTGTCTCACTGCACAGTCCGATAACCATTTTTGTTTGTTTATGTTGAATTCGACTCCAATATTTAATTTGACCTCATTTCGTAGACAAAGAAAAATCTCTTACAGAGTTGATTGCAAACATGTTCGACTCTATGTGTTTGATCGACAAGTTAGATTAGCTATTTGAGTTTGACTTGTTTAAATATATGAATAAGCGGAGATGAGTTTTCACGATTCGAACTGAAATATGTTAATAGATAATTCGGTTCTAGTCATGGCCAAAACCGATTCTGGGTTGAAAACCGCGATCCAGGGCCGAGGGTTGGAGGGTCTTGAACCGGCCAGAACATATGCTAGGGCTGGTTCATTGAATTGTCGGTTCTTGGCAGCTCGACTAGTTAAAAAATATAAAGTACTTAAAATATATATTTTTTTTTTAAAAAAAAAGTCGAACCTCTGGTTTCGGTTCCAGTCCAAAACTCAAACCGTCGTTCGTAATGTATAAACTATATAGAATTGAACATCACTACAAAATAAATGTTATATTCCAACGGAAAATCCTATGGTAATATATTCCAATAGAAATTTCAACGGATATTCCAATGGAATAGCTTCCGTTGGAATAGTTCCAACAGAAATTCCAACGGAAATATTCCGTTGGAATGTGTTTTTCATTGGAATTTTAGATGGAATTTGATGATTCCAACGACTATAATTCCAACGGCTTTTTACCGTAGGAATTTCCGTTGGAATATACAAATTCCGTTGGAATTTTTTTCCCACCCCCGTTGGAAAATCCACCGTTGGAATCGTCAAAATCCAACGAAAATTCCAATGGAAAACCCATTCTAACGGAATATTTTCGTTGGAATTTCCGTTGGAATCCATTGAAAAATTCCAACGGAAATAATAGTATTGAAATATCCGTTGGAAATGCCGTTGGAATAATTATTTGAAATATATTTCCGTTGGAATTTTATCATTTTTTTGTAGTGCATGAACCGAGCTGATCAAAATCACGGGCCCCTTCAAGACCCATGATCAATGGGCCGGTTCAATTATCAGCACAACACCACATATCTTGATGCACACGATATAAGTGTGAACTGTATGAATATTGAAATAAAACTGGGTGCACCCTGATAAGTAAACTTTAGTTACTGATTTTGGGCAAAAATTGCACTATTGGTCCACCCTAATAATGTGGACGTTTGCACAAGTCAGAGGAGATATGTTTTGGATTTATTTGACTCACAAAATGAAGTTTTGCTCGTAATGCATCAACTTTCAGGCTTATTAATTACATAACTATAACTAATCACTGTATATAAAATTGTCATATTTCAACGGAAAATCTTATGGGAATATATTCTAATATACATTTCAACGGATAATCCAATGGTAATTACAAAAAAAAATATTCCATTGGAATGAGTTTTCCATTGGAATTTTTAATGGAATTTGATGATTCCAACAGGTATTTTTCCGATGAATTTTTACCATAAAAATTTCTGTTGGAGTATGCAATGCACCGTTGGAATCGTCAAAACTCAACGGAAATTCTAACAAAAAAAATCGTTCCAACGAAATATTTTTATTGGACTTATCCATTGAAATTCATTAAAATATATTTCCATTAATATTTCAGTTAGAATTTCAGCATTTTTCTATAGTGAATTCGACTAATTGATATTATTGTTTTATATCTTGATTATACTCTGCCGAAAAATTTTATATTTATTTTAAAAATAATTAATAATTATTTTTTTATTTTTATTTTTTTTTTAATAGTTAAATTCTAAATTAAGTTCTGCCCATAATCATATAATCGCGTAGATAACGCCACATAATTCAAAGACCATAATAATTTGGCTTCAACACAAGGCCAAAGAGCATCAATTTGATTGTGAAATTTTTAATTCAGACACCCCAAATTAATTCGGCTTAAATAAAAAGCCGAAAAGGACACCACACTCGTAAGCGGTTCAGAAACTTTCTTTTTATCGTGTGCTATGTACCTTTCATTAGTTGTTCAATGTCTCTAGGAACTTGGTGGTTGATATATAGTTGCCAATGCCAAATTTTAATGCTTCTTTAATGCTTGAAGATGAACGTTCATCTTCTCAACAATTTCTGAATCACTTTTGATCATAATCGAATATATTTATCGATTTGTTACGGGTTGTTGAGTTGGAGTGTCTACGACGAGGGCCTTCTCGTTGTTATTGTCCATATTTATGTACTTATTGTATTAGACTTAAGTTATGTTTAAGTAACTATAGCCCTAATTTTGTGTATATATTCTTGGTTAATAGAGAGTTGCATCAACCGGTTGAGATGATTTTTCCCTCAAAGTATGTCTCGTCCCTCTTGTATCATGGTATTAGAGCCCAATTTTCTCCTTTTTTTGATCGCAATTTTTTTTTTCAAATGCATCTGATCGTCTTCATCATCACGATTGCGTCAGGCCGCCTGCTCGAGTACATCTCTGTTGTTGCACGTGATCTGTCCGACCGGTTGCGTTTCTACCATCCTTCACGTCTGGGGAAACTCGACATTTGAAGCCTCGTCCGTTGTCTCCAGCCTCCGCCGTTGCAAAAGTATCTCCAATAGAATGTGTATTGTAGAATTGTAGAAGTAATCCCATAAAAATCTTCTCCAACGGTTTTTTTTATTTTACTTCTATTTTTGTTGATGTGGCATGACAGAGAACGAATTATTCTAGAAGTATTTCTAGATGTAAAAATACTTCTAGATTTTATGACTCATTTTTTCCCTTTATTTATATCTTTTTAAATTTAATTAAAATATAAAATTAGGTTAAGAATGTCTCATAAATTGCCAAACGCACAAAGTTTTTGCGGGAATTACTCGGCGGGAACCAGAGGAATTTGGAAGAGGAAAAAACAACAAAATATTCTAAAATTACATTATAAATTTAATGATATATATTTTATTAAAATTTTACATTAACATACCTTATAAAAGAATGCCGATACAAAAATTATTTATGAACATGTAGAAATTTTTTTTAAATATCATTTTAATTTTTATATTTTTTTAAATGAATGTAGGTTGAAAATGTCTTCCCAAAAATAAAGGACGGCGAAGAATCAGAGCCTAGATATAAGTTAGAGATACCCTAAATGTTATTGCAACACGTTTGCTCAAATTAGGGTTGTGGCCAACAAAAGAAACTGTCGGTAAGCTATTTTGCAATAGTCTATACAACAAGTGTAGTTTTTATGTTTGTCTTAAACTCACCTCCATGAATTGGTGAAGTCAAATCAAATCTATGAAGATTGAATTTTGTTATGAAGATGATGATGAAGTTGATTCAACAAAAGCAAATATAACACACCAAAATGCAGAAGTTGCAACAATGGTGAAGGAGATGCAATAAAAAATGGAGAAAATGGATCAATAGTGTTCCCGCATCCTTTTCTCAGCGACTCGCACCCATGACATATCGATTATAGGTGAACCGTCTTACCACTAAGTTGCACTTCGTTGTCTAATTCATTGATATCTTCAGTTACCACATTGCCATGAAGAAACAAAATCCCATGTTTAATTTGCTTGCAATATAACTTCATTATGGTCCGCCGTCGACCTTGTATAACCCGGTGGCCATACAATTCCTGCAGGTCTTATTCGGAAAACATATCACGGATATCAATTCTCACTTCGAATTCTCTCCTTTCGTTGTCCTTTCATTTGTACAAAGTTTAAATTTCCTCATTAGTTGTCCACTTGCAATGCTTTCACAGAGAACTTGTGTGAGATATGTGAACCAAGGAAACAAGGAAATATGAACGATTTAATGCATTGACTTGAGAAAAAAGCATTAGACAGCTCGTGATCAATGAATAAAGAAGCTAACACGTTACTTGTGATCAAACAGATCAAGTAAAGTCGCTTTACGACCTGCTTGGAGATCATGAGCTCAAGGCAGATTCAACTTTACATACAAGAATTATCTTTTGCTAATGTACAGTAAACAAGTAAACTCTATTCTGTCAAAACGATACAACAACTAACAAAATGCCCACTTAGGCTGGAGATTAACAAGCAAACTCCCAATAAAACCGAACAAGATCAACCACTTAGAACTAAACCCTTACGGGTCTGGAAAAATGATGTGTACTCTATTTTGTGAGTAATTCGAACTGTTAGCATTTAGTATTGAACTAGATAGATACCTTCTTAAATCATCAAGAATCACGAATCAAGAACCCTGGCCCGATTTATTTTGATTCGAACCCGGTAAATCCACATTCATTAGATCCATTGTGTTTTGCGCTTTTTGCGCATGATTTGCATCCGCAGGTTGGATACAATCATTCTGAACTGTAGTGTCCATTTGGTCGGTTTGTTGCAAAGTACAATCAATGGCGTCAACAGACTGTTTGGCAGTACATGTTTGGGCCTTAGAATTTGTATTATGTGTTTGAGCCTCAGAATTTGGGTCCGTCTCGGTGGTCTCGTATTCGGATAAAAGGAACATGAACTCGTTGAGAAGCCGTTGAACCTTTCTGTTTGAGGCCATAGCTGGAAGAATATCTTCCCTGAGGAGCTTATGCTTATACATACCCTGCAAGAGTAATAAAACCGCCTTAAAATATAACCATGAGCACAGGCTAAAGGGACGAGCTTTTGTCTTCTTCGTCATATGTGTACACTATATATGCAAAAGTCTTGAACGTTGATATTTTAAGAATTTTGTGAATGTTAAAGTGAAAAGAAAACTAAAGAACGAAAAAAAGGTAAGAAAAAAAGGAAATGAGAATGAAAATTTGCTGCGATTGGATATAAAGATTTTCTTCAAAAAATTTTGTCTCGCACGAAAAATGACATAAAAATTGGAAAAAAATTTAAAAAAAAAATGGATATGAACTTGTGAATGGATATAGAATAAACATATAATGATTAAAGTTGACGGGATATAAGAACAAGAAAATATGGATTGATAGTGAGGTAGGCAGATGTATGTGAGTGAATTTTACTTGAAAACATATGTAACAATATTTTATATTTTTAATTGTGATGGGGGGATTTGTAGAAAAAAGAAAAGAAAGATGAAATGAATAGTAATTTATTTGGGGGGAAAAAAATGATTCATTTGAACTTTAATAAGATAAATCTTGACCGACCAAGCAAAAATTAAAAGAATCTTGAATATAATCAACAATATGCACTGCACATCTTCCATAAAAGAGATTATCCTATTACAAAATTTCCATTGAATACAAAAGAAAAGGACTTACAAGTACAAAAGGGTCCCATGCTGGTGTCTTTGGATTCGACCCGGGTTCAGTCATCCCAATAGGAGGGCCGAGAAAACTCTCACAAACTTCACGTAAACGGGACTCATCTGCCTCCCTACATTTTTTTAATGCATTAAATATTTCTAATTTTACATATCATAGCAGGTATTTCAGCACGAGTAACTCTCTCAATGGAAAAAGTTCTAACAAAATTCAGTGTTGGCTCGTTAAAGCTTCATTTATAAAGTAATTACATATTTCCAGAGGAAAAGATTAGAGACATAATATGAACTGCATGTACACACAGCAGGATAAGGAAAACATGTACGACATTTTCTGCAGAACAATGTGTCTAGACTCTATACACTTGTTATCATGATAAACAATGATCGTCTTTAAACTATGCATGAGGTAATAGTAAGACTGTATGACCATTAGCAAACCTGGCTAAAAAGCGAATGTATGATAGAAGACTCTGTCGGTATTCAGTTGGGGAATTCAATGCTAATGCAGATGCCAGCTGAGCTTCCAAATGAGCTCGTGTTTGCACGCCATCATCAGTCACTCTGCAAACCAAAAAGTGAAAACCCACACTTGTATTGTACACAGCCCAATAATTATCGATGGGGGGCAAACATAAACTTCTAACGCAAAACATCTAAAACTGGTTACCCTCAGCAAACTAAGCTTAAATCAGTATGGATGGAAAACTGTGTACTACAAGAGTTAATCACAAAAACTATCCACGAGTAGTAACCTTTTAAGTTATAACTGCCAACTGACACTTTCTTGACAAGTAATATTACTGTAAGGATGTATTTACTAACTTATAAAACCTCAGTGTGTATTTGTAACATTTGACTGAAGGATTACCAATATAATAATTATTAATTGATTAAATAAAAGGGATTGAGAATGCACACAGACCTGCTCCATCCTGGTTTACGTGCCAGAAACTTTCTGACATCATTCTGAAGAGAAGCCAACTCACCACCAAGAGTTGAACCCACAGTCCAAGAGCTTGCAAAATTCGATGCAGGAAAACAGTCATCTGCCACTCTCAGCCAACACATGAGACTCATGTCAAAGAGATACGCGTGCCTCGTGGCCAAAACAACAAGTGGCGATCCAGATTTTGATAATTTGGCAGATATAATTTTGATTGTACCTTCAGAAGAAAGCCAAGATCGGAAGATAGTCAAACATATAAAGAATAACATGGATTAGAGAGCTGTGATACTGATGCTATCAATACTTTTCACACTTACCACTATCCTTAGCATTAGACTTCGGGTCTGCTGTTATTAACGAGACCAAGGAATCGTGAAGCAGACATTTCTTGTTGAAAAGATCCCAGATATATACAGACCCTTTCTTTGTGACGAGCAACAACTTCCACAACTCATCACAGTCGATAAAAACCGCAGAGGAACCCATCAACATGGTCGGCATAGCACGTCTCCCACATTTTGTGTAAATCTTCTCGAAGATAAATATTTGAATAAATTGTTTAAAGAAAAACAAAAAACAATGTTTATGCAGCTTATGACATCTGAAGCGTGTGACACAACTACAGTTATTTCCATGAAGCAAAAACTGTCTATCAAATTGTATCCCACGCAATAGAAAAAAACAGAAATGTCACTAGAGTATAAGAGGATTTCCCAAATGATTACCATTCCAAGTATACCTCGCATAAATTATAATAATCATTTCCGTTGATTTAAAAAAAAAATAGAAATGACAATAACAGTAAACTGAGATGTGAATGGAAGAAAAAAAGTCACACTGACCTGGAGCGACCCATCCTCACAGCCAACAGCCCAAAAGTTGGAATTCCCAGACAGGACAGAGACCTTCCCAGATATCCTATCAGCCCATAAATTCTGAGACCCTCTCGTGCAACAAAGTTCTGTTTCTTTAATCAGGAAAGTACTTGCTGCCCCCACAATATCGTTAACAGCATGCTCTCTCGGCCGAGCTTCCAAGCAAACAGGTACAGTATCCTCTGCTTGTTCCTTATCAAACACCCTAATCGATAGAACACTTCCTGAAGCTTGGTACCCAACCTGCTCAACATTAGTACCGATTTCCTTGCTCTCACTAGCCGGGACCTTCTCGATGACCAAGTTCTCGGTAATAGAGGCTTTAGCCATGGAACTTACTTGTTTCCTTAATGATCCTTCTCTAAAACCACCATCACCATGTATTGTCCCGTTTACAAGATCCAATGACTTCCCAGAGAATTCAAGATTTTCAGATTGAGCGCCAATTGGCCTCTGCCTCTCCTGATGAGCGGTTGTCCCAACCGCTTCTGGTATTATCCTCTTTCGGCCATCGGGCTGCCTGTATTCCTTCTGCTTCACTGGGCTCGACATCCGGGCCGAAACCACTTGACTCGGCCCGTCCTTGATAGCCTCCTTATTTTTTTTCTTTCCACCATCGACAGTAGTCTTGCTAACCTTTGCCGTGACAGCTAAATCAACTGGGGGTCTTGGAGAGATCTGACTCTCGGGGATGGCTAAATTTTTCTTTTTACTAGGATATTGCTTTGTGGAGGCTGCTTCGAGTATCAGCTGGGCCGGGGACTCGGCTAATTTTCCTTGTTGAGCCCTCACGTCACCATAGCGATTTCTCTTCAGGTCCTGTAATTCGGAGTCGGTTAGTTTATGTCCGATTTCGTTGGCATCAAAATGAAATGTGGCGACAGTCCCATCCAAGGAACAAGCGAAAAGTGAATATCCATCAGGGCTCCTGCAAGCACGGGAAGAATTATACAATTGGTAAGATATAGATGGAAAAATTGGGAGGAAGGATAAACTTTTGGGATAAATTAAAAATGTACTGCCGAGAGGTTTGACTGAATTGAGGGGTGGTAGTAGCACACATTATATAAAAAATGAATTAATGTCCCCGTTACAAAGTGTACAACTATGAAAGTTCAGGTAGAAACTAAATATTATGTCCCCTAACAGAAAAATGCAAATTCAAGAATGAAGCTCAACAGCACCATACTACAGAGAGGAAAGAGGAGATATTAAGAACAAAAATTACCAAGTCAAATCCACCACACTCTGAGAAAAGAAATGTTTGGCCACGAAAAGTGGGCGGGGGCTGGCAGTGGTCCACACAGTTATAGTACGATCCTGGCTTCCAATTGCGATTACATTATACGGTTGGGAATCTTTCGCTTCAGGCTTTGCAGAACCATTAGACCAACCAGCAGACATGTTCTTCAGGTCATGCGAATTTGAGGCATTCCTTCGAAACATCGAGTGGTTGAACCTGGCAACAATAATGGGTGCATTGTGTCCCAAGAAGTCAAAAGTGGCAGACCATTCCCCTCTCTCTAGAACAGGTGCCGAGTGCCTGGGCTTTTGGAAACCATGAGTCGTGGTTATAAAATGGCCACAAGGTGACCAGTCGAGTCGTCTGAAGAAAGTGGAGCCAAGCTGGAAACGCACAGCAGTGGGTGAGGGAAAAAGGACAAAATGAAAAATCAGCCACCGGCCCACAAAGATAGGGCATGTTTGCTTTTTCTATTTCTTTTTTCCTTTTCCCCCAGTTTAAAAAAATCAATCATTTGAAAGTGAAATTTAGGAACATTACAATAGGTATTAAAAACCTCAAGGGGATATCCGAAATACTTTACATAAGCACTTGCATTTTGAAAAGATAAAAATTAACAGAAGCTTTTATCAAACAAGCATTGCCCTTGGTTACTTACAGATTTGGCCCAGTGACCATCAGTTCTATGAGCAAGGCTCCAATCGCTCGTTCGCCAAATTATGACAGTCTTGTCGTCCGATTGGCTTGCTATGAACGAGCCAATAGGATCCCAAGTCACGCCTTTAACCAGACTTGAGTGGCCCCGAAGAACGGCGCCGCACACACCATTACTCATATCCCAAATGTGGATTGTGTTATCAAGACTCCCACTGGCCAACGTTGAATCATCTGGGGACCAATTGAGATCCACCTACTTTAAGCATAGAAACAAACATGCCATGTTGATTAGAGTACACAGTTTACAAGGAAAACTGATATACTAATAAAAAAATGCCAATTTTAAAAAGTTTCAAGACAGCGAAATCAAAAGTCAAGAAAGGAACAGATATGTCCATATGACGTATATGTATCTACAACTACTTCTGATATTTAGGGTAATTTCAAAATACTCGAATATCTTTCACTATCATAATTTCCCCTTAAGTGGGATTTTTTATTGTATAATCTATGCTTAAAGTGTCGATCCCCAGAAGCTCCAAGATATTAAAACAAAATGCAAGGAAACTAAATATCTTCGATTCATGTGAGGACTGAGGATTGTGTATAAAAACTACCTCTAATACCCAATAGAAACAAACATTAAAAGGGTATATATATCGACGATAACTACGTTTTAAGCTTAATTAACCTCACGGGTAGTTATGAACCCTTCAAGTGATGATTTTATGAAACTTCTATTACCACGTCGGCAGTGTGTCCTCTCAAAGTCATGGAAACTTTCCAGTTCTCGACATCGGGTGGCTCCCCACTGCCAAATTCTGTGGTCCCTGAACCGGGCTTCCTCTCATGGATGAGAATAGCTTGATCGTCCGATCCAGATGCAATATACCGGCCATGCTTGGCCCACCTAACACAGTTAACGGACCCGAAATGGTCACGAAGGGTTGCAAGAAGTTTGGATGATGAGTCATTGATTTGAATTTCCCTGCCAACAGATTTCATGTTCCAAATGCGAACCTGAACAAATAACACAAAACTGCTTAATTTAACAAGGGAGATAGCATGTGTCAACATTAAGACATACTAGTCACAACACAAATACATGGCAACAGAACTTCTTCATGGATGATTTCACGTTGGAAAACAAGATTGAGATATGCGTGCAGTCTCAAGCCAAAACAACCGAATCGAATATTTAATTATTCACATTCATTGAATTCTGTTTTTTTGTACATGTCCATAAGCACATTTCCGTATTGGGGAAATTTACGACATTTACAGTCTTGTGATCTGGGATTGACCGCTTCGACAGTGGCCACAAAGATACAAGTCAAAAGCTAGAACTTGCTTTCTCAAGTTCCAGCTCAATGATGCAAATATTCGACAATGCCGTACACATCGTGTAAAGACTACAATAATCTAAACCAAAACTTCTGAAAGAAAGAATCAATAGAAACAGATTAAACCCAAAAAAAAAA